TCTAAATCTTTCTATTGGGGGCTCGTACAACTCTTATCACAATCCATGCATGCATCCATTGTGTGAAGCACATTTGTACATTTGTTGCCATCATCATTCTCAAAACATTTCCTTTCTACTTGAGCCCTTGGTATCAGCTCCTCGTTTTCCCCCTCCCTCACCCTCCTTCCTTCCCTCCCTCACCAACCGTTGACGATTTCTAAATTCTTATTATTTTGTTATGTTTTACACTTTCCGATGTGTCCCTTCACCCACTTTTCTGTTGTCCGTCCCCCAGGGAGGGGGTTATATGTAGATCCTTGTGATCTGTTCCCCCTTCCTCCCCGCACCTTCCATCTTCCCTTACCCTCCTGGTATCTCTACTCTCATTATTGGTCCTGAGGGGTTTATCTGTCCTAGATTCCCTGTGTTTCCAGCTCTGATCTATACCAGTGTACATCCTCTGGTCTAACCGGATTTGTAAGGTAGAATTGGGATCATGATAGGGGTGGGGAGGAAGCATTAAAGAACTAGAGGAAAGTTGTATGTTTCATCAGTGCTATATTGCACCCTGACTGGCTCGTCTCCTCCCTGAGACCCTTCTGTCAGGGGATGTCCAGTTCCCTACAGATGGGTCTTGAGTCTTCACTCCGCACTCCCCCTCATTCACAATGATTTGAATTTTTGTTCTTTGATGCCTATTCACGCAATTCTTGATCAAACTCCTTTCGTCATATTGTGGAGGAAACTCATACTACTCTGTAAGCTAATGGCCTGTATTCTGTAGTATGTATTGCAAAAACCCTTCTGTTCACGGTCCCCTCCTCATCCTTCCATGTTCTTTCAGAAATGAAGTACTGCAGCTGGTATGGGTTCATCTGCTGAAGGTTATACTCAATGATTGCTTCTCCACCATGTAGGGTACAGGCTTCGATGGGAAATCAGAACTCTCCGAAGGCCACACTCTGATTTAAGCTATACATTCCTGCTTGAATTCACCCATTTTTGTTTTGGTTTTTTTCATCATCTCTCCATTCCAAAGGAGTTCTAGATCTGGACATGGACAAGGTGTTAGGCCCTTGGAAACGATATCATCCATGAACTACCTAACGCCTTCTCAATCTCCACTCTAATCTCCCTCCTGTCCCTTAACAATATCTCCTTTCCTGGCCTGTGGGGTGTGGCTCCCTGTCTCAGGCAATGGAGGATGGACCAGCCCTGAGTCAGCTCTAGCGATTGCATCTGACAACAATTCATAAAATCAACCGTGTTCCTCACAAGCCAAGCATATGCCTCTCTGTCACTCTCTTTCTCTCTCTATTATGTATCTTGTGGGCAATCACATGTTTGCTCTTAGTGGTAGAGGAGAGGAAATGTGCACAAAGACACACACATTGGCAAAATACCTTGCGCCTTTGTTAATATTGTGAATTTCCCCTCTAGAATAATTGTAAAGGATATAGATTTATTGTATAGGACATGTGTACCTGTGTCTCAGAGACTTCAGAAAACCACTGGGAGAAGGAGGCAGCAGGAAGGATACACAGGTGGGTAGTGATGCACATTTCCCAGTCAGCATCTTTGTGATCACTGGATCTCCTCCCATCTCATGCCTCTTTCAGACTTCCAGCCTCATCAATGGGAACGGAAGCCCTCCAAGTACTTAGGCCAAGAACTTTGTTGTCTTCTGTGGTTCTTTCCTGGGTTTTAGTCCATATCCATTTTATTAGCAAATCCTGATTTGGCTCTGCCTTAAAAGTATTTCCAAAATCTGTTTATATCTTTTCATGTCAATTGCTACTATTCCAGACCAAGCCTCATTACTTCTCCCTTGGCTAATTGCATTAGCCCATTAAGCTGGCCTCCCTACTTTTATTCTGGCCTTTGAAAATTGCATCTGCATTCAACAGCCAGTGTTATTAAATAAAAAGATAAGTCACTTCGTGTCACTCTGCATAAAATGACTTCTCAACAACCTTAGAAGAGAAGCCAAAGTTCTTGCTCTGAGCTTTACATATGAATCAGTGAGAAAAATAATCAAGAGAGAGGCCTTATAAAAGAGGGCTTCAAAAAGTTCTTGGAAAAATGGAATTAAAAGATAATGGATTTTTTACCCCATGAGCTTTTCAAAGCACCTTCATATAATCCCGCAGCTCATTTTCAGTACTTCTCTAACCTCTTCTGGTCTACCAGTGCTCTGTTTTGCTCATTCAGCTTCAACCACATTGATGTTCTTGCTGTACTTCAAACATGCTAGGTTGGATCTTATCTAGTATCACCTTTGTTCTTGACCTTCCTCTTGGTAGCTACTTGGCTCAGGCCTTCTTCTCCTTTGAGTTTTTGTTAAAACATTACTTTCTCAATGAGGCCTTCCCTAGCAGGCTATTGAAAATAGATTGATTTCCCTTTGCTCTCAGCACACCCTCTCTCTTCCCTGCTACCCCCACCCCATAGTGTTTCTTGCACCTTTTAAGGTTTACCTTTTGTTTTCTCCTAACCTGGATGCCAGCTCCGTGAAGGTAGTGCATTTCGATTCTCCTGTCTACTAAAACGTCAGACTTCCAGCCTCATCAATGGGAACGGAAGCCGTCCGAGTACTTAGGCCAAGAACATTGTTGTCTTCTGTGGTTCTTTCCTTGGTTGTAGTCTTTCCTTGTTCTAGCCCTTCGGTGAATGTTACCAATTCCTGAGTGACACAGATAGTTCAGTGCTTAACTACTTACCAAAAGGTTGATGGTTTGAATCCACCCAGAAGTGCCTTAGAAGATAGGTCTTGGTGAAAGGCCATCCCCTTGAAAACCCAGTAGAGCTGCTACGTTCTGCCGCATGGGTTACCAGAGTTAGAATTCAGTCAACGATCACTGATAACAACAAACATTACAGGCCTTCAGTGGGGGTGTTCAATGGGTGGATGAATGAAATGGTATCTGTCAGACTGTAAGTTTGCATTTAACCCATGGTAAGTAAGAAGTAGATGCGCTTTCTTTAAGCTGAGTGACTAGCTTTCTTTTAGCTGTGCCATGACCATCCAGGTTGGGTTGAAAGAATAAGAAACCTGATGCTAGAAGATTGGTTGCTGGTGTGTGAGGTAATGGCCTGCATTGGGTGGAGGCAGTGGGCTAGAGGGCTATTGGTTATGGGAGAGACACTGAGAGGAGACAGATCAGGAGTGGAGGCAGAGACAGAGGCCCAAGTGAGTTTCAGTTCGACCTTTACTGGAGAAGTGACAAACAGGACACTAACAGTCACACACAGAGGGACTTTTAGAAAGAAAGGGAATTTAGAAGGAGAAAGAAAGCAGCACTTGAACTGGGACCTGAGATTTTAGCTGGAGTTACAGTAATTAGTTTTGAAACGGTAAAAGAGGAAAGAGTTGAGCCAAAGTCTGAGTCTTGTTAGGAAGAAGATGCAACGGGAGCCAGTTATTGAGACTGAACAGGAGCAGTCTGAGTTCGAAACAGACCCCCCAAGTGTTGATCTACACTTAGCTCTAACTCATCCATATTCATAGAACATTCTTACAAGAACTTCCTTTCAGATGAATAAGCTTCTACTTAAGTAGGACATTACTCTCAAGGGTCCGGGTGTTGTAGGTCACAGATCACTACTGAGAATTGAATTTCAGAGACACAGATGCTTTTCAAAAAGGTTCTTGAAGCATCTAAAAAAGCAGAGAATCTTTACATTCCCCCCAAAAGGGCTTTATATGCTTTATTTCAGTCTTTTCCATTTCCTGATTTGCCTTAATTATGCAATTGTTTTCAACCCTTTACTGAAGTATACCATACATTATGCAATGTGGACCCGTCCTCTGTGGACATCCTGGTGAAATCACAGATATTGCATATCCCCAAGAGACCAACAACTCGGTGAAGAAGCAGACTGACTCATAGCTCAGTGCACTCTCCTGTACCCCCACCCACGCTTCCTGGGGTCCAACAACCTAGACTCATGTTGCCTACTTCAACCTGATGGACATGGAATCCTATGCAAGCAAAATGGACTCTCTGAGTCTGCCTTCTGGTCATTGATTCATTTTCAAGATTAGCATTTGGGAGATTTTCAATTTATGTTATTATGAACATCACAACTTCTTACTAATATAGCAATTTCCCGTATTATGTTTACTTCTCTAATACTGCTGCACTTTACCTAAGTGACTTTCCTATTGTCTTTTTACCCTACCCAATCATTGTCATAACCAACATTAACTATATTTTCTTCAATTTAGTTTTGAAAGTATGAAGTACCTTGAAAAATTAGGTTTCTTAAAAATTCATATTAGCTTGCCTTTAAAAATATATCATTTTTAGCATCTCTTTTAATTTTTCTTAACTATTCAGATTATACATCTTAGATGCATACTGAACCTGTCTAAATTCTCCCTAGTTATTGAGTTGAATTGTCCCGTTTTGAAATCATATTTTTATTTTGGTGACATGATGAGGTGGAGAAACAGAATAACTTTCATATTCTTAATGCATGTTTGCAGGTTTGTTATCAAAATTTTAAGTTACAAAGCAATAAAAGGAGACCAAGTATTAGTTAGTAAAAGAGTCCTGTTGGTATAAAGATTAGGTGCTTGGATGGTATCAGAAAAGCTGATAGTTCGAACCCACCCAGTTGGCTCTAAGGGTGAAAAACCTGGCAGTCTACTCTCAAGATTGTAGCCTAGAGAATCCAATAGCTGCCAGGTCTGTTCCTATTGGAACTGGGTCAATATGGGCTGAAATCTGCTCCGTGACTAATGGCAGCAATTAGTAAAAAAGTGCACTGTGATCTTTTAGGTTACTCCTTTTTTTCTGGGTTATAGTTGGTTTACTGTTAAAATCAGTATTACTAATTCCAACTTGATGGGAAATTTCACTAGTCTTGCTATTTCAGAAGTGAGCTGATATTGTTACATTTAATAAGGATCCATGCATAATATTTTTATATGTATATAGTTGTATAAATGTAAATATATCCATACATCTCTCTGTCTCTGAATCTATGACATATTCATTAAACATTCTTTACAGAAAGAACAATAGAAGATCATGAACTAGTGATTGAAGTGCTATCTAATTGGGGAATGGAAGAAGAGAATAAGCTATACTTTAGAAAAAATTATGCCAAATATGAATTCTTTAAAAACCCAATGGTAAGTGAAATTCCCAGTAATGATTATAGAGAAAAAATATCAATTAGATTTTTCTAACTTTTATTTTGAGAAGGGAGAATCTTCTCTGTCATTCTTTAGTTGGCAAATTGTACATAAGGTGTCTGGTATTTAAATTATAGCCATGTGTCTTCTCTAACAATATCTACAGCATCATTCTGAGAAGTTCAGATACAGAAGAACTATTTTTAACCATGCTGGTAAAATCTGATATGAAAAAATTATAAAATTAAGAAATACTAAGAAACCTAGTTGTTAGAGCTATTACTCTCTTTTATTCCATTTTGGAGTAAAACCAAAAGGGTTAGGTATTTGATTTGGAGAGCGGTTTATTATATTCAGACATATTACAAAAAATACCATACTTACTACTTTTCACAAAGTTTAGGAAATTTAAATTAAAAAAGCATTCTGAATCTAAAGTGAAATCAAGTTGGCAATTGCTGGTAATATTGTAACTTGGCCATAAATTTAAGATCGACACGAAGCGTGTTGTTGTAAATGATTTTGTTTTCATTGCAATAATTACTGAGCCAAGTTGAAATGAGATAAGGACCAGTGCATTATCTGGTAAATACCACTTTCCGTGTGGTTCTCTGTAAAAGACAATAAATGTCTGTCACATTCTAAGGAAGACTGGGGATGTGGAGAAGTCACAAAAGCCTCTGGGCTCATTATTTTAAATTGTTTTTGTCTCCGCAGCTGTAGCATATTTTTGCACTAAGTTTGGGATAATTGGATTGAAATGATCCTTTATAAAAAATATATGATACACACCATAATAGAGTATTTTCAAACCCCGAAAGACCCCTTATGTTCTCTTTCATTTTAACTGGCTAATAGAACCATAACGGGATGATCTTTGACAAACTAAAAGAAAGCATTCTAATGAAAATTAAATAGAATTAGAATTTGAAGAGAAAGTGTTTTCTTTCTTGTAAATCTTTATTAAACCCAGCAGTTAAAAGTCACACCGAAAGAAATATGGATGTATGCTCGTCTGTTATTTAAATAAGGCTGGGCATTCATTTTATAGACCTAGGACAGTTGTTCTCAACTGGGAACGGTCGATTTAGCAGTCTGAACATCTGCAGACATTTCTGGTTATTATAACTGGTGGGAGCGCCAGTGGCTACAAGTAAGGGATGCTACTCACTATCCTGCAGTGCACAGGGCGCTCCTCGGAATCACAATGTCATAAACTGCTGCTGGAAAACGCTGTCCTAGAAAAGGTATAGTAGAATATGGTTGTCCAAACATTTCTTACACTGACAATTACTGGAGGGCAAGCAAGGGATACTTGTTAAAAATCCAGCACCCAGGACCTACTCAGGCCTCCTGGGTTGTATCAACTCCAGGAAGAGGCACGGGAATTCCTATTTAAATTATGGCTCTGGGTAGTTTTTATAGCCAAACAAGTTTAAAAAGGGGGAAGTAGTAAATAGGACTGGGCTTCCAGGACCCTGGGCCTAGGTTAATTTCCTGCCCCTCCCCCTTCTGGGCTGTGACTTTGGACATACTTATTAAGAGGAGGGGTCAAGTGCATTGCCCAGTGTGGGGCAGTGTTAGGGAGCTCAGGACAGGGAGAACAGCATCATCTGCAGTGTGGGCAATTCGTAGACACTGCTCCAGAGCGTCCCATGAACAGTCTGTCTCCTAAGAGTGCAGAAGTTTGTATTTTCAAAAACACTTTGGGAGACTTTTAGGCACGCTGGTTTAAACACATTGATTTGAAGACTTTTTGCTTTGCACGACTTGATTAGCTGTAACTGAACCTTTTCCTCGCATGGGTATGGGATAACTTAACGTGAATCTTTTTGTCAGTATTTTTTTCCAGAGCATATGGTGTCTTTTGCAACTGAAACCAATGGTGAAATATCCCCCACACAGATTTTGCAGGTACAGTCTATATTTTATTCACGATGTAGCAGAAATGGAGGGAATTTGAGATCCTTATTTTTACCTACTCCGATGCCGAAATGTTATGCTGTGGATGATTACTGTTCCCTTGGAGGTAAAACTACCAAGGGAACAAAAACAAAAATCTGAGGAACGAATGCCTGAAACCAATAACCCCCAACTAACAATGTTTTCCAATGTACAGCTTGGCGCCTAAATAGATTCCACAATGAGGGAGGATTAAAAACACAAACAAATACTGATATTCTTCTTAATTTTGGCTAATGTCCTGAGGATTTTAAACATTTTAAAATGTGTACCAGGAAAGGAAATTAGTGGAGCTTTGCTCTACAGTGTGCTTGAAGATTTTTCCTTTGCAAAAATGAGAGTTCTCAATAAAGTGTAGACATTTTACTATTATTTACCTGGTGCTTGTTTTATACTCATTCTCTGGATCCTAGTTTTGATAAAACATTTAGCAATTAAGTGCATAAAAGGATGGAAAAGATCTCTGTTTAGTTTAATTTTACATTTGTGTCACAGCTCTGATGAAAATACTTGCATACAATGGTGAAGTTTTCTTAGCTGAATTAAGAATACCAGTTACCTAATTAATCATCTTGATTTAGTGTCAATTAGGTTCATTTCTTCCAAACCGGGATTGGCTTGAAGTCATTATTTTCTGAGAAAATTTCATTACAATAAGCAAATGACCTTAACTATTTTTTTAAAAAAGAAGTTTAGCTCAATTTCATATCAAAAGATCTGTGGTGGTTGTTAATAAGCTAATGTTAAACAATGTCTTCTTAACAGTGGGTGTTGGAACTAAGCCGTGGGCATCTCCAAACCCCTTCAACATTCTGTGATCTTTAATGAAGAAAACCTTTAATATTTCTGCTATAGTTATTGCCTTTTAAAATATTGGGTAGGCATATCTATCAAAGACTTGTTTTATATGAGCTTTTTAATAGGTTATATTTTATTTTAGCGTATCAGAATATTTTAGAAACATGATTAGTCTCAGGAGATTTTTCTCAAAACTGCTGAGGTTTTACGGAAAATAACAGTTGGCGGAATATTACAGTGGAGGATGGGTGGTGGGTAGTGCTGGTGGTGGCGGTGAGCAAAGCTTCTTGGGCCCCCAGATTTCAGCTCTCTGAAGGCTCCCGTTACTGTGTTAGAACAAGATAGTGGGTTGGATTTTTCCTTCCTCCTCAAAATGCTCCTCTATCATACTGATAATACTTTTATGTTAAATTATAAAAAAACAAGAAAAACCGTAGACTTTGGAATCCGATAGCCCTGCATATGCCCCTGACCTCTTCTCTCCACTGAGGCAGTGTTTTCAATTTTTAAAAGATTTCTCTTCTTTCTAGTGCGACCTCTTTGACTCTCCTTTTAAAATTTAATTGGCTTGATTTAATAACTTGGAAAGCACTCAAACTAAAAAAAAACCCACTAGCCTGTTTTGCATGTCAATTAATTAATAGCTGTGGATCATTAAATTAAAATTTTTTAATCATTTTATACTGAAAACAAAACAAAACAAAAATGTATCTACCATCAGCATTTCCCCAGAGTAGCTTTTAAAATGTTATTGCTTTAGCAGATAATTTCTCTTCCTCTCAGTTATTCCATTTTGCATTTGTTTATTCAGAGGGTTTCTGTTTTCCTCTTTTAATGAGGCACTAATGCATTTCCACCATCTCATTAAGGAAGCTGAGCACAGCCACTCCGCGGTGCCTGCTCCCCCTTGTTTTCCTGACCAGCATGTGCTTGCTCCCTCAGTTCTTTATGACTGTGTAACCAGCTAGTCCTCAATGTAGCGGCCTGAAATGCTTCCTCACAGTTTGCTAACAATTTCTGTGCATCGGGAATGTGGGAAAAGGCAGGTGAGCTTGATGTACATGGACTTTGGCTCTGGATGGAGTCCCGCCTTCCAAGACGCCCCCTTTTCCGCTCCATGTCTGCCGTCTCAGTGCTTACTGGTCTCTGTCAGTGTCCACAGGCCTTTTTCCACCTCCAGGGCCGTCCCCGTTGACTTGAGCTTCTACCACATGGTAGTCGCTGGAGTCACATTTCTTTGATGCGGCAGGGACTTCTAAAAGTCAAGAAGTCGAAGCCACCAGGCTGGTGACGGCCTACCGTTAGAACTGGTAGAAGAGTGTTAATTCCACCGTATTCTTTTAGAGCAGTCGCAGCCTCACCCAGGTTCAAGTGGGTGGAGGAACAGACCCCACCCCTTGCTGGTTCTGTAGCACCGGGCCACGTGGCAGAAGAGCCTGTGCGATGGAACGAAGATTGTTGCAGTGTCCTTTGGAAACGACCACTCGCCATAGCCACCCACCATTGAGAGCCGCAGACAGCAGAGAACAGATGGTTTCCCTTGCTCTACTCTAGGAGAGGAGAACTTGACTTCACTTCCCTCTGAACAACTGACATCAGGATGGTGCTTTTAATTATTCCCAAATGATGCTATTATAATAGTAACTGTAGATGAATGCAAATTTTTCAATGGGTCTTCATATGGCTTATAATTTTCCTTATTGTCCAAGTACTGATTATGTAAGAAACTATATTTTGACGAACACATTTTTGTTTGGAACTTGCCTCTCTTTATCAAAAGATTATCTGACTTATTTTTTTTCTTATGTATACACAGCTGACCCCTGCAATACATAGGCGTTAGGGTTGCTGACCTCCTACCTTACGTAGTCAAAATTCCTCAGAGGATTTTTGATTCCTCCCAATGTGACTAATAATAGTCTACTTTTATTAGAACCTTACTGAAAACCTAAATAATCAATTAACACATGTTTTATATACATATTGTATATGGTACCCACATATTAGCTGCAGTTTTAACCCAAGTTAGAAAGGTATTTTGCAAAATGTGCAAGATTTGGGGGCCACTGGTGTGGCTACAATGTGGAGGCCCCATTTTTCCTTTCCTTTTCCCCACAATGGCCCTTAAGCTGGACTCGTTCATTTTAGATTGGCGGGCAGCGGCGGGTGCACATGTTAATCGCCACATCAAGCACTTCGACTTCTTGTATGTCATGACTTTGCTTCTTGGGAGCTACTTTGAGTGTCACTAGCGACCGAGTGGTGTTAGCCATTACATTTATGGTATTGCACGACACATGGTGAAAAAATACACCCGACCGTAAGAGATCTCTTTCAACTGTGGTATCACAGTTGCAGGAGAGACTCACTTCACGCGGAGTTGGTGTCCGTCACTCGGGTTTTCTAAACCATCGGTGAGTAAGTGAACCTGTGTAGTTAGAACTTGGGTTGCTCGAGGGCCAACTTGTTCTTTCATTTCTGTGATGGTGTAAATGGTATCAATGCTGTTTGAATTTACATGTTCCTATTTGAAATCTTGACATTGTGATAAGGCTACCATGCCCATTGTTTCATAACAGTATCAAAATGTTTAATTTTTCTACCAGATGTTTCTCAGTTCAAGCACATATCCTGAAATCCATGGTTTCTTACACGCAAAAGAACAAGGAAAGAAGTCCTGGAAGAAGATTTACTTCCTTCTAAGAAGATCTGGTTTATATTTTTCTACTAAAGGGACATCAAAGGTAAGTTGACATGACAGTGATGTGTCTTGAAATGGAATATGAGTTTTGCATTCAAATGGGTTTTACTTTGTTGTATTTGAAACATGATTACTTAAATCCAAGTTTTAAAACATTTCATTTGGAGTCCAAACATTGAACAAATCGATTCCAAATCTAATAAACATATCTCCTATCAGTTTCAGAACACATCTTTTGAGGGAATCTAAATACTCTGATTATAGTATCACTTAGACTGCTCGCTTCTAGTCCACATTTTCCCCTCTCCATCCTCTTTTTCTTTTATTTGTTAAACATTCTTTTTAGTGTTTGTTTTATCTTCTTATGTATGTTGTAAGTTCCTGAAAACTTGTATGTTGTGACGAGGACTAGGTCTGTGTATCTGCACATATGTGCACAATTAAATACATATGGATATGAAGGGCTTCAAGAAATTTGTGCCCAAATTTGAAATATTTTTAAATTATTTTACTGTCAAACTTTTTGAAGCACCTTCATGTGCACATAAGTACATACACACAGTCTGCATTTATATGTTGTCTAGTCTATGTATATTATGATTTGTAGTATTTACTTTTCATCCAGTACATTGATGCCTTAAAAGTAAAAATACTTTTGAGAGTTTTAATGAGAGGTTCTTTTAATTCTATTTCCATGTACAGATCATCTCTGGCTTAAAATGTATTCAAGTTACAACAAACCGCGCCTGCAGCCATCTGGGCTTGGTTGGGTTTTTTTTTTTTTAGTTGTTCAGTTTATCCGTAGTAATATGTGATACATACAGTGTTTCAGCCCTTAATTTGTTGATGCCATTCTTTGTAAGCACTTATGTAATACTTTCAAACTTAAAAGACAAAATATTGAATTTATAAAGATATTTATAATAAAAAGTAATGATAATGAAAAATTTGGGGGGGGAAAAGAAGATTCTCAATTGTTGTCTGAACTGACTTTGTTGGAATGGAGTCATTGGGTCAGAACAGAACCCGGTTTGAAGGCATGAACTACCTGTGTCTGGTTTTGCCAGATGGCACTGTTGTTCTTTATAGGCAATCTGTCATTTCTCTCTCTATGTCCTTAATATTTGTTCTTACTCTGGGTGCTCAGTAATCTCTTTACCATATTCCTAGATCTGTTAAAATATGTAATCTATTAAATTTTACTTGATTATCAGCAGATATTTTCAACTCATAAACTCATAGTTTTCTCCTGTACTGAAAATGTTTATTATTTACTTGACTTATTTCTTCTTCATTCTTATTATTTGACCCTTTTAAGTTTTTAGCAGCATTTTCAGATTTTGTTCCATAATTCTTAATTTCTTCCACATTTCCTATCATTTTTTATATCCTTGTGCTTGATTCTAGTGATTTCCCATCTGTATTTCAATTGGTTAATTCTCTTTTCAGCTGAATCAATTCTACTTTTCAAAGGAAATTTTAGTTTTTTTGTCTTACATATATATATTTACTTCTGAGTAGCCAATGGCTTCTCTGTTTTTCAGTTTTAATAGCATTATATTCTCAGTCCAAAGATGCTTTTCCCTGATTTGTTCTTTTGAATATTATAAATATAACAAAATTATTTTTCAGTTTTCTTTATTACTTCTTTACCCTGTCACTGTTGTCCCGTGTCACCAAGTTGGTTCCGACTCAGAAGAGACTGAGTCTGCTGACTCTCAGGGTGATACTTCTTTATCTGCTTCGTCATGTTTGCTGAGCATCAATTCCTTATCTAAGACTTGCCTGTTCCTTGTGTTACCTTGCAGCTATCTGTTAGCCTATGTGGATAGCCTTGAGGTTTTTTATTTTTTCTCATTATGGAACCAAGATTTAAAAAATTTGATTAGCCACAATTTAAAATATGCCTTTTAAAGATGTTACTAAAAAGCTATTAACTTTATAATGACATTAGTTTGCTATGTTTATAAATATAAAATATCTTCATTCTTAAATTCAAAAGCTTGAGTCAAGCCTTTGAAGAATGGCTAAAGTATAGGTAGATTGAGGTCAGAGGAGAGCCTTTCAGGTGGAAGAAAGTTGGGGCAAAAAACCTTTTGGAAGGTAAAATGTAACAGTAGGAAAGTACCACTTGATTAAATAGTTTCTATATATTTAACTTTGGGAAAACATTAAAATTTTTTAGACAAGTAGGTGAAGTTGACCAAAGGAGTGTCAAGGAGCGAGGGGGGCGGGGAGAAGATGAGGATGGAGAGAGAAAGAAGGAAGAGGAAGGACCAAGGGAGGCAGCATGGCAGGGAGAGAGGAGATAAAGGGGTGGGAGGAGTGAGGAGGGAGAGTAGTTGGCTATGTACATGATGACCTATTTCGGATGAGCACTGGAGTAGCGAGGAAAGGGGTGGACATAAGAGTGCATGCCGAATGACCAGGTGTGGTGACTGATTGGATATAAAAGAAGAGAAAATAGTCAGCTGCATTCTTCAAGAAAGAAAGAATCGTAAAGAAATGGAAAACTCTGTAGCAGAATAAGCAGGTATAGGATATTTTCTAGAAGTAGAAAGGTCGTCTTGGAGATCTGTTGGGATGAGTGAAACCTGTCAAAGAAAATCCCTAGAACACAGCAAATGGTGGAGACTACATGGCCGAACAATGATCCCAACATGATTATGGAATTTAAAGAGTAACACTTGGCCCCTTTCCAGAGTTTGCCTCGTTAGTCTTGCAAAAATCTCCCTTTTCCCTCCTCGCTGGTTTCCCTTGCTGCCGGTCTTGGGCGCCTTCTTTGCTGCCGGTTTGATTTAACTTGCGGTGTGAGTGGTGGGACGCATCATGGAATGGGTTTCCACTAGTTGACTAACCTGTCTTCTTGCACAAATGTCTAATTTATAAGTATATGACATTGTTGTATGACTTATAAGGATGCGTTAGACTAATCTTTCTTGGCTTTTTAAGCTGGTTTTCAAATTTTTCTATCATAAAAAATGTTAGGAAGCGCATGTGCCTGTTTGGCTAGTCGAGTCTTGGACATTTTTGTAACCATTTAGAAAAGCTCTTTCCACAGCGCTATCTCTTCATGTACAGAGTAGCATGTGAGAGTGTTTCTGCTTGTACTCATGGAGAGCAGTGGCTGCTCAGTCTCACCATCCTGTTTGTCTCACACTCATGCCTTCCTGGGAATAGACGATCGTGTTAGCTTTGCTCTCCACTTCGTGCATCTCTACCAGCTGTTCATGAAAGCCTGTCGCTCTGTCTAGTCTTTCCTTCGTCCTTTATCTCCATTCCTTCCTTGCCCGTTATTCACCGAAACACCCCTCTTCCTTCCACTGAGTTCTTTCCCTTCTCTGCAGCAGCCTTTCCCTTGGCGAGGCAAAACAATGCTCGCTGAATCTCTGTCCTTATTCCAGCCCCTCGCTTCTCTGAAGAGTGTGTGACATTGCTACTCATCAACACATAATGTTCTTCTCTTAAGACTGTGCCTAGCAAACTCGTGTTCCATAGCCTGGTCATGCACGTGATTACAAATTTGCCTTCAAAGGGAAAAAGCAAACCAAACAAAACAAGGCTGTTAGGTAGCTTCAGTGACATTACTACAAAAAGTTTGATTGTCCAGTATTTGTATGCCATTTCTACCTGGCAAGGAGATAATTTCCTGCTCTTAAGGAAGTCTCTGTTTATTTTTCTTTCTAAAGATATAAGCAACATAGACGTTAAATAAGCATTGATGCAAACCTGGGGTGTGTAGAGCTCTCCTCTCCAACTGTGCATCGGCGTTTGGTTTACTAACTGTTGCACTCCTCCTTTAGTTCTGTAATGCCACAGGCCCTGGCGTATCTGCAGTTCTGGAACAAAATTCAGTCCAGAGGAAGTGATGATGCCTTTCTGCCCTCCAGTGTTTCTTAAGTTTCCTCTGTGTCACACCACAATGACTCAAGTGCAGTGACTTGTATAGAGAGAGGGCAGGGATGGCCTTGTATTACCTTCATAGAAATCAAATATTGTTCACTAGAAAACTAGTTCCTACGAAGGAGTAAACGTTTTAAGCTGTGGCAATAAGAATATCTTTCTCCTTCCCCTTCCCTTACTGAAAGCATCCTACTCTGGATCTTTTAAAATAATTTTCTTTGCTGCCTTCTTTTCTCATGGAGTTACGAACTAGAGCTAGTCAGTCATCCATCTAACTGCCTGAGCCCACTGAGGTGTCTTACAGAGAGACTCTGCTGCACTACGTATTAGAAAGTGGGTAAAAACCAAAGGACCAAACCCACTCCATCTGGTTGATTTCTGCTACTCGTGACTGCATGGAACAGGGCAGAACCACCCATAGTATCCCAGAGCGATGAGTCATTACAGCAACAGGCGGCCACCTCGTTCTCACGTGGAGGGACAGGATGAAGAGTGTGGTGCTTTCCCCGCTCTGCTACCAGGGTGCCTCAGACATGGGATCGCTCCGGTCGAGTGCAGTGTTTCACCTGTGAATGTTGTGGCATCTCACCGCACCACTTCTCAACTTTTAATGTGCACGTGAATCACCTGCAAATCACATGAAAATACAGTTTCTCAATCAGTAGGTGATGGACGGGCCCCAGGAATGTGCACCTCTGTTAACCAATATTTAGGGTCGCAAGGTGTTTGAGAGCAACTTTGGGTTATATTTTCTACCCCAGCGTTAAGCATTTCTCCAGTGGTTAACCTAGCAGATGTTTAGGACCTGGTGATGTCCCCTAACCAACTCTAGATGCCCAGGACTTCCAAGAGGCATGGAAATAGCCATGCAGGATTCCATTTTGCCTGAAATGGACGCGTTCTGCTGCCAGGCAGCACCTGATGGTTAGTGGGCCGGCCCTGCTTTGTGGAGAGGAGGGTTGTGCCGCTCGCTCAGCCCTCCGTGCATGTCCCGAGAGTCGTCCTTTGGAGAGGGACACAAATGTGGGGGGTGGCCATTGTCAACCACGTCGAAATCATCTTCCTTTGCTCCCTTTGCTTCTTTAAACCGTTCTGGAGGCTCAGAGCAGCCTTCTCTTTGTTGAACTGCCGTCATTTGAAGCTCAGGTATGCCAATCATTTTGAAAAGCCCTTCTTTGCTGTCTCCTCTCCCTCAGATTCCTTGGATTGGTGACTAGAGCAAATCACTTTAAAATAGGAAGACAGGTGGCCGTGCGCGTGTGTGTGTGTACTTTCGAAGTTAAGTTGTAGGCAAGCGGCTACTTCTCAAATTTAATCAGAATGTATCCAGTTCACGGTTATTTAAGGATCTCATGACCTAGTTTGCATTTGCTTTGTTTTCTGTATACGAAAATTCCGTTTGGAATCATTTTCACCCAAGGTATAAACGATGTGATGTAATGGGAACACAGAAGAGAAAGTGTAAAAATGTGTATTCGTCTCGGCCCTCACAGCCCTGCCTTTCTTTTCGAAGGAACCACGGCACTTGCAGTTCTTCAGCGAATTTGGCAATAGCGATATTTACGTGTCGCTGACAGGCAAAAAAAAGCACGGAGCACCGACGAATTGTGGCTTCTGCTTTAAGGTACAGGCTTAGCATTCTCATAGACGAATAAAGCGAGCCTCAGCCTTTTAGGTAAGCTCGGCTTTCTTCTCATTTCTTCTTAAAAGAGGCAGCTTCCTCTTATCTCTAGGAGAATTTTAGTGGCTTTTATTTCAACAGGTGTTACCTGCACGATATGCATTAACGATAAACACTGTGCTGTGGCCTTCTAGCCTAACCGTGCAGGAGGGCCCCGAGACCTGAGAATGCTCTGTGCGGACGAGGAGCAGAGCAGGACGTGCTGGGTGACCGCGCTTAGACTGCTTAAGGTAATGGCCCCGACGCTCGGCCGGCCCCGAAGGGCTGAGCATGTTCCCCTTTCCAACCCCTAAAATAGTCCCGGGCACTGAACGGCTGGATGGGGACCACGAAAAAGAGCCACCGTCCTGTGTGGAGGTTGTTTGTCTCAATCTGAAAGGCAAACCTTTCCCGAGTACAGAAGGACCTAGTGTGTGTCGCCCTTTTTGCATGCGTGGACAAAGTGGTGCATTTCTAGACATACTCTGATGTTTAGTTTTGGAAGTCGCACACCTATAGCCGGTGTGGGTGCTTTAAACTTCTACGGAGGACTGAATTCTACATTTTTAAACCGATGCCACAGTTCCAATATGGGAGGATTCCCCCACTCCCCAGATTTAGCTTTTTATTGTGATCTGGATGAATGTATATAGAACGTATCAGTTTTCCATTCAGCAATTCATACCATTTTGTTTGACGACATTGTTGTTAAATCTTTGGTGTCAAATAGAAGGCTCAATATTTTTTGAGTCAGGAGTTATGATTCTTGCCTGGGGGAATGAAAATAACTTGTTACTATATTTAGCAGGAAGATTTAGATATTAATATTGGACGTATTAAAATGGGCTCTTTTATACTGCTCTGTAACTTACAGAGCAGTAAATGACCCTGTGAAAATTTTATGTCCCACTACTTCATTTAGTCTGAAGGAGATACTGTCAAACCTTTAATTGAATTACATTTTGTCCATGTTTTGGGTCCACTACCCATTGCCATTCTTAAATCTGTAATTTGTTAACCTCCTCTAACATCTTGTTTAAAAAGAAACCAGATAAAGAAGGGCCGAATAATCAGAAATAGTTGCCCTAATGGGCTGGGAAGCATGCCTTTATAACTGGTTTGAATGAAGTTTTTGGATTAACCGCGAACCTTTCTTCTTTTTTGCTGTTATGAAAGATAGCTACTGTGGTTTCTTTGAAACTCTCATCGATGATAATTACTTTTCAGAAGTAGTTGCTTTTGTTGTTCATTGTCATAAAATGTAAAGAAAGAGAGGCGGCGAAATTTATAAGGGACTTAAAGTCAATTAGTTTAGGGGGTAGTAACTAGGCAACTGATAGTGCACGTTTACACATTAGAATCGAGCAGCTCTCTAAAGTCATAGATACCCCAGCCCAGCCTTGGGAATCCTCTTGGATCGGTTTAGATTGGATTCTCTAGAGAAGCAAAACTAGTGACACTTACATAAGTCTATGTCATGCATGTATATCATCAGAGGAGATGGCTTACACAGTTGTAGAGGCAGGCACAATCCAAGTCCATGGGTCAGATGTCAAGCTGGAGGATTCTTCTGACTTGTGCAGCTGTAGGGGCTGATAAACCTGAGACCAGCAGGTCATATGTCAGACTTCTGGCTGCAGAAGCGAATGAAGTCAAGGATGGGCAGGTAAGATGGCAGGCTGCTGGTGACTCCCAGGATCAGCAGTTAAGACAGTAGAACTCTTGCTCAGAGTCCAGTGAATGAGCCAGATGAAGGAACCCAAACCAAACAGCCAAACTTACTGCCGTCATGTGGATTCAGACTCCTAAGAAAGAGTAGAACTTCCCTTTTGAATGTCCGAGTCTCTAGATCTCTATAGGACCGCACACCCTCATCTTTGTCTCACCAACCTTTGCTCAACAGCCCACTACTTAACCCACTATGCCACAAGAAAAAGCCAGTAGGCTTTTCCACTTATATTAGAAGCAGGCCCCATCCTTGAGGATTATATTATGTTAGTTCTTACCATGGGGGTTACTATGTCTTAATTGCCAAACCACTGAAAATCTTGGGCAAAGAAAGCTGACACAAATCCTTAACTGTCCCACCCAATGAGTGCTGCTAGGTGCTACTCTGACAGTTCCAGCTCAGTCACCTCTGTCCTGCACTATCACCTGTCCTGCACCATCCACAAAAGTGTTCCTAAGTTTGAGCCTTATTGAAGCCCCACTGCATGTCATAGAGGGTCTCCCTCTTTTCCACCGACTCTCCAAAATTATGTCCTTCTTCAGCAATGGGTCCTGATGGCATGTCTAAAGTAAATGAGACAAAGTATAGAGTCATAGAATATTTGAGGCTAAGAAAAGGGAATGTTGCGTATAGTTTCCTAATAGACCTTTTCCCCTATGTTAAATATTCTGCTTTTCTCTAACACACTTTACTTCCTTATCTGCCCATCAATAGGTCAGGGAAATGTTTAGATTCCTGTGACCTACTTCTTGGCTTATGTTAAACACCTACTAAAGACCTCCCAAAGTACAGGGGCAACTACTTACCTCTGTAGCTACCAAGGACAATACATTTTTTTTTTAAAGAAAGCAATCTTATTGGATAGGCAGTAGGATTGTCACTGCAGATAAATAAAAGGCAGCCTAACAGCATGCACTTGTGGAAGTATTGGCTTTAGGTAATTAAATAATCCTCAGAATGAATCTGGGTAGAAATTAAGTTCCTCTGTCTTTTGGTTGAAGTTATAGTGTGTTTAGATCTAATTTAAATAAGTTTCATCAGGCCCAAGAGATATCACTTATATTAAAAATTAGGTTCTCAGAGATGGAAAACAGCTGCATGAAAGCAGCACAGAGAGCTTTGCATAAGTGTGGGATTTTAATATTAAGAGCAAAATCTTGAAAACAATAACCACTCCCCAATGTTGCCTGATTACAAAATGTGTCCACCTTCCTGAAGTTGCTGTTAATAAAATAAATTTTAGTGTAGAAAAAGCTTTGTTGGAATGTTTGAGTTGGATTCACCCTAAATGTCATATTAGATTCCATGATGCTTCTTTGATCTCTTTTTCCCAAGACTAACTTTTAAGTCCATTATGGGCCCTCTAAAGTTTTATTATTGGTTTCTCCATGTCTGGAGGAAAGGAGAAATGTAGAGAATCAAAGGCTCCTGGAAACAGTTCATCCATTAAATTAAAGGAACACTAGTCTCAACAGCCAGAGACCAGAAAAACTAGATGGTGCCCAGCTACTGCTAACAACTGCTCTGAAA